TGGCCGTGAAGGCCCAGAGGGTTGTGAGACGTCCAGGCTCCCACATTATCTCCAGATAATCGGCTAATAGATGGTGGTAAAGTTGTCAGCCTTACATGCCAGCTGCCCTTTACCTCCAGGAAGATTCCTGGTACCTAATTCTGTTAGAGGCTGAGTCGACCCCAGGGCCATAGTGTGGCTGGAACTGAAAAAATCACCTCATCGGGACTCGAACCTGCGACCTTCCAGCTTGTAGCATAATGCCTCAACCAACTATGCTACCACATGTGCCATATATAAAGCACACCCACACACACACACATACATACACATAAAGTAAATTGGTTGAATTTTCTTATTTTATGTACTTCTTGCAATGTTTTATATACATACTTAATTTTTTTGCCTTTGTTAAGTGCAATTTAATAATGACCGCTTTTCTTTGTTGTCATTGCTGTTGTATAGTTGTCAATTTATTTTGCCTATTTTCACTGTATAATGAAGCATGGAATAATTTTCTGGGCCAATTAATCTAGCAACAAAGAGATACTGCTACTACAAAATAAATTAATTAAAATCACGGTGGGTGTGAAACCTATAAATTCATATATAGGTATGTTTAAGAGATTAGAGATCTTACCTCTTCCATGTGACCATACATTTTCATTAAATCAGTGCTAGAAAGATATTTAACTCTTAACGGCATGTTGTGTGTCAAAAACTGTGTACTGGTGTGACGTGGGACCCTGTGTGGAATGTTTTCTTGACTAACACACCCAGTTGGACTTCTAAGATAATATGATATTATCATTCATAATTTTTATAGGCTTACTGCGCCAAAAAATAATTTTAAAGCAGTGTGGATCAATGCCGCGATTCTATATACATTTCTGAATGTAGTGTGAAAGTTAGAAAAAAAAAACTCCAGTTTTTCCCAATTTATTACACTCTTAAGTGAAATGTTGCACACTCCAATTTAAATATTTTAATATCCTCCGACACAGTAGTTGAGTAGGAATTTAAATGCCCACAGGCGGTGAAGGATTAAATTGTGTGTTTTCATTCATAAGACATTTATGAGCAGATGGTAAATTGTTGAAAATGTTGATGCCAACATGCCCATAGTATCTACTTTTCTGGAAATATGAGAGGTTGGTGTCAGGTCTATGAAGAAGGTGCTCATTCGATGTATTACCTCTGCGCACAACTGATTTAGTCTGAAAACCTTCTTGGTTATTTACAATGAAGTTCATTAAACACACACTCATTCTACTCTGCTGATATATTCCTGTTATCTAAAAATGATTCATAATCTACTCAAAAATGTTTGTATAAATTGTGTAAGAGGAAAGTACTGATGTACTGATGTATGGTGGATCTATTTGCAGCATCTGAATACCTTATATGAAACCTCTGTGTACATGTATTTTATAGTTTTCATTTTATTTTTTATGTGGAAGCTTCAGTTGTACCGTGCATATATATTTTGTGTTTTTATGACTTATTCCAATTTCTGCAGACATTTATAACTAATTTTTGACCTGCTGAATGTAATATACTGTCCTGTGTATGTGATCAGACACAGGGTTTGAATTGATAACTGAATTACTGAACACTTACAACTACAAGTAACTATAAAAGTCTCACTAATTCATGCTTTCTAAAGATCACTGTAACTACAGTACATATAAAGTCTTCTATGTCCACACTAGTCATTCTTTAGTAACGGCATCTAACAACAGAGATTCTTAAGCTTCCGTGCTCATGTACATGTATTTACCGGCTGGCAACATGAGTTGATGCCTAACAAACAGCTGCCTCTTCTCATTCCGCTATTTCTCTTTCAGCCATTATGTCACATTATGTATATGTATAGCATGTAGAACAGGGTGTTGAGGAGAATATTTGGACCAAAGAGAGATGATGTGATAGGAAGCTGGAGAAAACTTCATAATGAGGAGCTTCACAACTTGTACTCTTCTCCAAGTATGACTAGAATGATCAAGTCAAGGAGGATGAGGTGGGCAGGGCATGTAGCACAAATGGTGGAGACGAGGAATGCATATAATATATTGGTGGGGAAGCCAGAAGGAAAGAGACCACTGGGGATACCAAGGCATAGATGGGTGAACAATAGTAAAATGGATCTTAGAGAGATAGGATGTGATGGTATGGATTTGATTCATCTGATTCAGGATACGGACCAATGGAGGGCTCCTGTGAACATGGTAATGAACCTTTGGGTTCCATTAAATTCTGGGAAATTCTTGAGTAGCTGCATAATTGGCAGCTCCCCAAGAAGGGCTCAGCTCCATGAGTAAGTAAATGGTATGGATGTCCCACAGACAGCAACATGACATGCAAGAGCTCCACAAACTGAGGAAGTTTGGGAACCACTGGTCTAGACTGTCAATTTAGAATATACAGTTCTCACATAAGTTTGTTGTGTTGCATGTTATGCAGTATTTCAGGTCGCATGTAGCACACCTTTGATGTAGACCCTGCCTAAGATGTTTGACAAAATTCAACAATTTCATCCCAAAATTGTAAGACACAACTATATTTTCATGACCATAAAGTCTTTCTCCCATGAGTCTACCTCACTCTACACCAGTCAACAAGGGCACAACTCTGTGACTGGACAGTCAAATTTGCAGTGTCATAAAGAATATGCCTTTAGGTGAAACAGCACTTCATGCTGGTCACTACACCAATCATTCTGTTTAATTCATTACTTTCACACAAGAGACAATTTCCAGCCAGTCAAACAAGGCAATGAGTTCTTATCAGAACTCAAATAACACTCTGTCATAACAAAAGTCAAATACAGTATTTACCCAAATAAAAGAACGTCCCTCCATTCTAAAACTGAAATTCATGGAGAAACACTTTCCTTTTACTTCTATTACTGAGGCAAATTATCTTTCCAGTCAGTATGTGACACACTTCCGAAGTAATGACCTCTCCATCATTAAGAAGATAAACACAATAAACACATTAAGATGGTAATCTGATATGTTAAACAGGTTCTGACTAAATGGTTGACTTAATTACCTCATTACATGCATACAGGAAGCTGTAAGAATTCCTAAAAGGAAACACAGTCTGCTGAATTAATGCCACTTCTTCACTCAAATATGGACTAACAACTACAATAGAATACTTTCCCCTATTGTTTCCATTGGAGAATGATTCAAAGACTGTCATGAGAGGAACAGGGAAAGGCACAAAATGGGCCTACCACAGCTCCTAAAATCCAAGCTAAGCTCAGTGAAATTACGTTATGAATGAAAAAATTTTAGGAGGTACATTAAAAAATCAAGCATAAAAAAATGGCATAGAAAGATTTAAAATTCTAAAGATATTTTAAAATAAAAGAGGGACTGTGAATTGTTTGTGTTGCATTATACACAGAAATGGCTGGAGTGAAACAAGTCAAGAATAAGACACACAGATTTACAAAATTAATGGTGGATATTTAAATTAATCAGGATCAATATAATTAATGATCATACAAAATAAAGCTACATCTGCTGCTACAACTTCCTTGTCATCAATGACAATGACAATGATGACAGTGACAGTGACAATAATAATCGTGGTGACAGCAATAAAGCATTATGCTAGGAAACAATGTTACTGTCTGTAAGCAGATATTAACTTCATAACCAATATTGGTCTGGAGATAGGCATCAGCCCCATCAATTGGGCCCAACATTGTAGGTTTTCTACCTGAGGATAGAGGCAGAGTCTAATCTTGAAAACATTGTTTGAAATATAAACAGGACAACAGATAATATCCAACAAGTCAACTGTTGTATATCAACTTCCTGTCTGTACAGATCCTGAAAAATCAGTGCCATCACTACAAATTGTACCACTGGAGTTATCCTGAGCTCCAATTTTCATTGCTTCGGTCATATCGAAGAATTTTTCTACTTCATGGGACTTTCTGGTAAGTTCACAGCTAACCAGAAAATTGAGATTTCCACAGCAGTGAACACTGTAACTGGGCCCTTCCTTGTCATGACACCACAGGATTTCATTAAGTTGTGGGTGCAAATTAACTAAAAAACTTCAAATATTATGTTTCTGGACATTATCCATCGTCTGTCTTTATCTAAAAACAATGTCCTTTATATTTCTCAAAACACAATGTTTCAGAGACTGGATTCCACCTCCGGAAATAGGGACTAGCTCTATTGACTGGGCCCAACTGAGTAGGTTTTACCTGAAGATGGAGGTAGAATTCAGCCTCAGAAACAATGTGTTTTGAAAAATAAACAGGACAGTGTTCTTAGACAAAGACAGGATGGTAAATAATGTTCAAAAACATAATGTTTGCACTAATGTACCCATTGTCACAAACTTTTAGATCTTATACGTAATACCTGGAGGCACTCTTCTCCATCTGCAACCAGAAGATAACAGAATCTTTTAGCATGGACTATAATACAGCAACGATTATGATAACGCTTAACTCCCTTTGTTGGGAAAGTCAGATTTCATCAGTGCTATAGATGTCCTGCCACCGGATCATGTCATGATTCAGTTCAACTTGTTTCTCATCTTCATACCCCATTTCTCTAAGCTGGTCCTAGCTAACCAATTACAGCAAACAACCAACTAACTTTATCGCACAAGGTCTTCCTTAAGCAGTTAACAATTATCCTCCTGATAAAGATATCCAAATTTTTGTGGCGTTCGGAACTTCATCAGTGCCTTCATAAAAGCCTGAGAGTAAATTCCACCTGAGCAGCTCAGTCCACTACACATCATTATCATGTATTAACAACATACAATTCACTGGAAGCTACAGAATCCCCGTGGTTGTAACATGAGCTAATAAAGACCAAAACGAAAAACCAAGAAAGCTAATGACACAATTTGTATTAATAACAAACAATATTCACATCGGATGACAGCGCACCTGAAAAGTGTTATCATAGTAAATGCTGAATGACACGTAACAGACTACACATTTTATGCCTCATTTCACAGTATTGTTCAACTATTCTTACCTTAGTATACAACTCCCTTGTAGACATGCTTTTATATAAATTAGTAAGAAATATACTTTTGCTTTCGTGCCCACTTCTCAAAGCGTGCTCGGGCCACTGCCGAAAGTTACTCCTACATATTGCATACAGATTCCAAAAACGAAGGCTTCATAGTTACAACAGATTTGTAAATACACATGTCACTCACAAATACAAACATAATGCAGCACACACATCACAATTCGAAGTCAATTCGATGCCTTTTTAGCCACCATTTAACAAACAGTATCAAACTGATGACCCGACAGTCGACCACATCTCTTCGCAGCTGTTCAAGCACTGCGGTAGTTTAAACGGAAAGATGTAACACATCCTACAGAACGATGGGTAAACGTGTACATTCGTTACTGATATTCCACGTACTATGTACATTCTCTTTTTATTTTTTCGTGTTATTAATGTAATCGTCAAAAACATAACAACGATCATATACGAGTAATGTACGTATATCAATACCACACTTCTTCCTTTGCCACATCTTTGAAAGCGATACTAGCGGCATGTGTCTCAACAGCAAAAAACAAAAATCGGTGCAAAGATATTCTGCCGTATTGTACTTACCGGTACTAACTCATACTTCGTCATATACGACTTTCCTTGACTGTGTTACCTTACAGACGGAGCTGATTGTTGCTCGATAGGCTAGTTACCGAATACCGAACCTCAATGAAACCCGTCCGACCGGCAAAGTCGGTTTCGACAAAATCTACATTTCGCGTTTAGGCCCCCTGTGCGGGTAACGTTATTTTCTTGAAAATACTATGTCATGTTTGCACAAATAAGAGCTGCGGAGCCATAGAAACAGCCGTTGCTAGTGAACGGCTCTGAAATAACATTCATTTCTAGGCAACGGCCACGAAATTGACAACGGAAAGACGTCCGTTGCTAGGCAGCAGATTCTTGATAGGCAAGAAGAGACCGGCCGCTGCTAGGGAACGGCTCGGTAAACACATTCACGCTGCAACGAATACACATACGAGAATGAACGTTGTTTTCTGTGCAGGCCGTGCCGGGGAGTCACAAGGGAGACAAATGGGGCAACCAAGACAGTTCTGTACTGTAACCGCACCATTGAAATCCTTCACTCCCCCCCCCTTTTTTTATTTCAGCAGATGTTACAGTAAATACTAAGAATTGTGAAGAAACAAAGGTTTAAGACACACAGTCAGAACAAGGAGTGGGCAATGAGCAGACAGACCAAGCTTGCGCGGAGAAGGACATCTGCTAGTCCTTGCGTCCAAGCATCTGGTGTTATTTTCCAGAAGGGCAGAAATGATACTTCAGGAAACCCCACTGAGTTTCTTTAGAAATTGAGAATTAGACTTACAGCGGCAAGCCACTTTGAATATTCGAGAAGTGACAGTTTCTACCAGCCGTAAGTCAAAAGTGGGAGTGCCAGGAGATCATTAGCGACCCCTCATAAGTTGCATCGCTGTCAATGTCTCCGTTTGGTCTTTTAGGGCGAAATTCCCTTAAAAACAATCGGTCATTGGCCGGGACCAAAATTAAACCAACTCCTCTTATTTGAATCAGCCTATCCGGGAAATTAGGAGGAGAGGAGAATAGGCGGATACAACGCAGTTAGGACCTCTGGCTCGGCAGAGAGTTCACTCTAAGATTTTTAGTCGTCTGTCAACTTTAGAACTTGGCGGAGGCAAACCCCGCATCACACGCGCTAAAGGAAATTTCTAAGTACAAAATTTTGCTCATAACGACTCATATATTGATTTGGCTTAATCCCTAAGCGGACGGTTGTAAGTCGAGCTTATCGAGTACAATTTGTGCAAGTGTAACACCAGCTGCTTGAAAGCCGAAACTACATCAGATTGTGTGAATTTGTACAGCCGAGTGCCTTTAAGAAGAGCAATAAAGTGTAGTGGCACAGTGAATTATGTTGGTTAGATGTGCTTCACCCTCACTTGTCCGAGCCTAAACCGTAGCCGACCTGAGGAGAGACTCATCGCCACTAGCTAGTCAAATCCATCGCCAGCTTTCACCTACTCACGCGTTCCCCCTTTTACAATGAATCGCAAACCGCGTCTAGCTGTTTGCTGGCGCCCATACAATCAGGTCGAATCCTGAAATTCAAACCCGCTGTAATCTCGACGTAAGGAAGAAGCGGTGGAGCCTGGTCAAGCAGAAACCAGCCACGGCCTAGCAACTTCAGCAGCGGCAACACCAGGTAGGGCAGTTAGAGGTGGTGAAAAACTTGTTGGGGCTTGAAGCCTTGAAGAAGAAGCCCAGTCAAAAGTGACGCCAAACGTATGGGAGAACGTGACGGCGGTTAAGTACGGAATCAGTTGAAAGTCAGGCTGTGAAGGCAAGACTTCACGTGTGCCGCGGATACAGTGATATTTGGAGTGTGTAACTTAGTGGGACAGTTACGGTCGCGCCATATCTCAAGCGGTTAGTCGCTGGATTCCCACCGCGTCGGCGCGGGTTCGATCCCGGGTCTGGTCAAGTGGGATTTGTGGTGGACAAAGTGGCGCAGGGGCAGGTTTTCTCCGAGTACTTCGGTTTCCCCTGCCAATTTTCATTCCACCAACTGCTCCACAATCACCCTCACCTATCATCTGGGGCTGGTACAAAAGGCGAGAAGTGGCCGCAGTGCAAGGGACTTAGTCCCACCCCACTAGCAATAATAAAAATAGTGAGACTGTTGCAATTACTCATAATTGCGGGTTGTGTGTATAAGTGGTCAATGAATCCAATATCCAATCTGAAACCCCATCGAGAGTCACTCATACACATGACCATACCATCTATGCTGTTTTGTTTCCAGAGACGGTTTCGACAGATTGCTGAAATTCAATCCGAATTGAGAGAGGAAGATAGTTATCTCCTTTGCCAGAACACTCTACCAGTTAACGAGTACATTGTTGTCGAGTCAGAAGAGGGAGAAGCCCTTACCAAGAAACAACTAGTGAAGACATAGCTATTAGTTGTTACTGAATAATGTGTACAATGTGGTTTAGTGGATTAATGATAGTTTTATAGCAGCGGTAGTACTGGGAATTGTTTGCGCCACTCAAAAGTGCAACTTGTTCAACTGGCAGGGAAAACACCAAGCAGGTGTTACAATACAATAAAATTTATTGGACTGGGCTTACCAAGCTTACCAAGGCTTTTGTCTAGGAGGGAACATAAATCTTGATCATGGATCTCAAGGTGATATGAAGTCAGGAATGGCTGTGCTAGCTAGAGCCAGCAGCAATTTAACCGACATACCGACCGCCGAGGGACAGTGTTTTGTGATATGTCAACGACGTGAGCACAGAAGTAGAAGAATCTCTGTTATTGGAGGCGTTACCAAGCAACGACTAGCGAAGACTAAAAAATACCGAGACTTAGTGTGTGATATAGGCCGTGCCATAGCTCAAGCGGTTAGTCACTGGCTTCCCATCGCGGCGGCCCGGGTTGGATATCGGGTCTGGTCAAGTGGGATTTGTGGTGAACAAAGTGGCGTTGGGGCAGGTTTTCTCCGAGTACTTCGGTTTCCCCTGCCAATCTTCATTCCACCAACTGCTCCACAATCACTCTCACCTATCATCTGGGGCTGGTACAATAGGCCAGAAGTGGCCGCAGTACAAGGGACTTAGTCCCACCCCACTAGCAATAAAAAAATAGTGTGTGCTATAGTAATTTCTTCTGTGCGTAGATTAGCGGCAATGTTATATTTACCTGTAGTTAGGAGTTCTAAAGTGTTCAATAATTCTAATTACCAACCCAAACCCCGAGCGGTCAGGGTAGCTGGGCGGTCTAAGGCATGTACTGTCTTCACTCGTTTGGAAGCCGGGGTCGTGGGTTCGAATCCCACTCAGGGCATGAATGTTTAGTTTGTGTGTGTGTGTTTTTCTGTGTTTGTGTACAGGTAGAGGCCTTGTGACGAGCTGATCACCCGCCCAAGGAGTACTACCGAATGTGTAAGATCGAGAAAAACCGAAGTTAAGGGAGAAGTTCATTGAGGTAGGCCTAGGCCCACTGGGGCTGTAGTGCCAAGGAAAAAAAAAATTCAAACACCCGTGTCTAGTCACTAACGCGTGACAATATAAGTTTACAAGAACACCTCAGTCTCATAATACTAAAATGGTAAAGGTTAAAGTTGTTCCTGTGCCTAACTAATTAAGCACTACACCATGAAGTCATATGGGGGAGTTGATGTATAGGTCCACATTTTCTTGACCTCGGCACTAGTTTGAGGTGAGTGGTCAGCTTCGCACCCCGGCCGCTTTACGCCCGGGGAAAGAGCCGAGGGTATCCATTGGATAGGAGGTTGGTTGGACCACAGAGCCGGTCTTGACGATGCGGAGAAAATTCTTGACCCTACTGGGACTCGAACTCCGACATCTTGGTCGTCCAGTCCGTAGCTAGTCGTTATGCCGACTACGATATCCCGGCTCACAATACTACAATGGTTGTCTAAAATATTAATTATTAATTTTTGGGCAACTATGCTAACTACAAGTATTTCAACTGCAGCAGAAGGAAATATATTTCTGTAAACAACGCTTAAAAAAAGTCTTCTTGCTATCATGTCAACAGTGAAGATTGTATTTAGTAACAAAGTGCCACCAACTTGAGCGTTGAAATTAGTTAGAATACAGACATTATTCCAAGCTCGTATTTACGTATGGGCCAAATGGGCCGTAGTGCAGGGCGGCAAATTTTTGGGGACTTGGAACAGTTGGGAGCAGACCCGTCGTAGGTCGTAGCAGACAGTCGACCCATGGCGAAGCGTGCGAGATGAAGGAAACCGCATTGTTGTAAACCGCTGCGTAGCAAACGCCAAATAGTTATGAGCCAGACGTCATCCAGCGAGGACAAACGCCGGTGAACACACAAGCTGTGGATCTGTTAGCGAGGGAGAGTGTAGTGAAGAGTGGGAAAACATAGTGGCGCTACAGTAATTAGTTAGGTGTGGGAACTAGTACATACATACATATATTTCACATTTCGCAAGTCCAAAATACAATTGACATTAAACTGTTGTAGTAATTTTTAGTATTATGCCGCAACGATTGCGACACAAAAATGTCTTTTTATATCTTATCGCTACCACCAATTTGTTGTGCCCTAATAGGGGTCAGTGACTGTACTCACCCCCTATCGGACGTCCGTGGATAATTCTTAACCTGTGAGGTGGAAAACATACTTGCACTAGGGGGATCCACAAATAAATCGAATACTCATCAACAACAATAATGTAATATATAATGAAATGAACACCATTACAACGAACAACCTGTCAATACACATAATACGCTAAACCTAAATGGCACAAACCAACACTTTTACTTGTAACTTCAAACTCAGTACACGGATGACATGCTTCTACTATTCAGACT